CTGTTCATCTCGCTGTGTCATTACAGAAGTGCAGCTCTGGCTTCTACAGAGAGTGGGCCGGACCGAACAGGGGCCAGTGTGTGCCATGCAGCTGCAACGGGCTCTCCGATGAGTGTGATGAGCGTACAGGGAACTGTGTGGTGGGTGTTGACTCACACATGCACACACAAAAAGACAATAATTACTCAGATACAAGTGATGTCTCTGCTGCTGAGAAACAATATTGTAGCAGATGTCAGTGTTGTAGCATTTGTAGTCACGCTGCTGGGCCAGATGGAAACCATGTTCCTTTTCTTTTGTTTGATCTAACTGGCCTCTAGAAATGTCAGTTCGACACTGCAGGAAATCGCTGTGAACGTTGCAAGGAGGGTTATTTTGAAGATCCAGTGAACAGAACCTGTCGTGCCTGTCCATGTCCCTTTACAGAGAACAAGTCAGTATCTGTTTATGTCCTACTCTTCCTGCACAGCTTTCCTTTTCCTTGTTTTGCGTGAATATGAAGACCTTCACTCTTTGTTTTAGTTTTGCACTGGCCTGCCTTGATGTTGGCTCAGGAGTGGTGGAATGTTTGTGTAAACATGGTTACAGTGGAGTCAGATGTGAGAGGTAACCGTACATCATTTGCATCTTCATCTTTGCAGCAAACGCCCCAACCCTCAAACTTATTTACCTTTCTCGTGTTTTTTTCCCCCTTTTAAGATGTGCATTTGGTTATTATGGCAATCCCATGGTGCATGGGGGCATGTGCAAGCCCTGCAACTGCAAGAAGAATGGTTTGAACATGTGTGATTCTCTGACTGGAGGTGACTATTTATGCAATAAAGAAATACATAATAAGTAATGAATAAATAGATAATTACTCATTGAGAAAAAAAAGATCTCAATCCCTTTAGGCCAGAAGTGCACCGATTTTTTCTCCAGGTTCACTTTGCAATGCATCTGTAATGTATAGTCTACAAATACAGCTGAGGAAATCACCACTCAGTAACATAGAGGGAAAACATTGCTGAAGGACGGTGTCTGTAGTCATTGAGCTGTGAGAGACTAAACATGACCTCCATGGGTACAGAGTGTCTGGTTGCAATTTATTTTGCTTTAATGAAGGTCTGCTTTCAATTCTTCTCATATTTCTCGGGCATGCTCCTCAGCATCTAATTTAATTACATGTTCTTGATGTAATTTTAGTTATTTACTGCATAAAATTTATATTATTGTATATATACATTTTAAATGAAATTGTATTTATTTATTTATGTATTTTTGGTTGTTTGTTGTTTGTTTGATTTCCTACAACTTACTTATACTTACTGTATATTTTTGTAGCCTGTATATCCATATATGGATTTGCATACATGGGCTAATATGACAGCTAAAGTGGCCTTCATGTGATGAGATCCAACTTTACTATTTTTTCCTTTCAACAGAGTGCATCACATCTGGTAATAGTAACTGTGGGGATCACTGTCATGGTGAGTCTGTGTTGAAAGTTCATCTTGCAGTCGTGTTTTGACCTATAAAACTAAGACTCACTACATTTCATCTTGCCTTTACCAGCAGAGTGTGACAGCTGTACTTACACTTTGCTGGTGGACTCGGAGAAGATGGATGATGATCTGGTTTGGCTGAAGCAGCAGCTGCAGAACATCAGTCATAGTCCTGTATCACGATCTACTCTGAACAACCTGGAGGCTAACATATCTGAAGCAAAGGTAGCGATTCACACAGGGAATAGGTGTTTTTCTGAGAAAATACACTGCCCTTGAGAATATTTGCTATTTCAGATCATGCAGCAACATTTATCCAAGTTCAAAGTACTTCTTATCTAATGTTTCTTAGGTACAGATGGGGAGGCACAGTACTGCTGTGAGACTCCTGGATCCAAAGGTTGAACAGCTGGAAGCAGATGTGGCTGCTGACAGATATGACTTGTCTCAACTGAGTGATGAGGTACCTGGAGTGAATTTTCCCATGCTAATCAAAATGTAACTCATCCAAGAGACTGATAATTTTTCCTTTTTAATTGTAAATGCAAACTCATATTAGAATAGTAGAGGATAGCCAAATAGAATGAAAGACCGAGAACCCACAGGGAGCTTTCCCAGCTCTTTATGTTGGCTTATTATTAAATATATTTAAATATTTTCCAAAATTTTACCAGAACCTTGACATTACATCATATTTGAAGAAGACCTTGGAGTCTGCAAATGAAACGAAGTTAAAGGCAGAAGATCTATTCAAAACAGGAGGTCTTCTCACACCAATACAAGGTACATCTCTGAAATATGAAAATATATGTGGTCTTATCAGCGTGAAGTTGGAGTGTTCCTAACTTTAATAATTTCTGCTCAGTGATATCAGGTACAAGCAGATCTTTCCTGCCTCTCCTGCCAAAGACTTTGTGACACTTGTTAAGGAAACCAAATTACCTGTTATGTCAAAGTGGGCATCGGGCTCAGCTATATCATTTAACAGCACTGTCTCTCCTCTTGTCAGATCTGATAAAGCAGCTAACTGAGGCGAAACCTGAAGATTCAGTTTCTCTCTCTGAAAAGGACAAAGGCAGGATGATGGAAGAAGCTCAGCGCATCATGCAGGAAATGAGAAAGAGAGGCTGCACTGCTCAGAGGGACAAAGCAGGCAGCGAGCAGGAGAAGGCACATAAATGTTAGAGATCTTTTTTCCTTGAGCATAGAGATTAAAGTATGCTTATGAGGAGAGAGAGTGGGGCTGAAAATGGACACATTGGCATTTAGTATTTTAAATACAAACATTGTGTTTCATGTTAAATTATTCCACAAAGACCAACCCCCTTTCACCAGTTGAGAATTCACCAATGTTTTTTATATAAAAATGACTGTATAAAGATTTCATTGACATTTTAAGAAATAACCAACTGGCATGTCCGTTTGCTAAAAATGAAACTGCAGCATATCTGCTGAAATCAAATGGAAATAGGAACAAATACCCACCAATAACTAAAAAGGTGACTACTTTACACACTACAGATGTTCTCTTCTTCCTCTTGTTTACAGTATTTATGCTAGGCTAAGTAGCCAGCATGTACCTTTATACCGAATGGGTCGATACATCCATCTATGCCCAGATAGCAGAATTATTCTCATGAAAACATCAGGCCCAGTATACTTCCTTGGTTTGACCTATACTTCCACATTTGGGGTGATTCTCACTTTAATCCTCCACTCTTGACTGGCAGCAAGATTAATCTGTGTGTGCAAATCAAATAGTCTGGATGTGGAGATAGTTTTGACTCCCATAGTGTATGTGACCCAGGCTCTCACCGTTTATTGAACCAGAGCAAACACAAATATGTGGCAGATATACAGTTAGCTCCATAAATATTTGGACAGAGACAACTTTTTTCCAATTTTAGTTCTGTAAACAATGATTTCCAACAAAACAACTCAGATGCAGTTGAAGTGCAGGCTTTTGGCTTTCGTTCAGTAGGTTGAACAAAAAGATATGGAGAGCTCCTCTGACCGCATCTTCACAGGAAAATCTTCCAAATGCAAGCACCACACCTCAAATTAAGTCCAGGCCTTTTATCTGTTTAATTGATAATGACAGTACGAAGAAACTGCCCACACCTTCATCTGATTTGAATGTGGATACCCTCAAATGAAAGCTGAGTCTACACATAATGTCCAAGTCCATGATGTAACTATGATTGGAATATGTTTCAGTAAATGATAAAACCTTGTGTCAGTGTCCAAATATATATGGACCTAACTGTAGTGGCAGGAATGCGTCTCAGATCTTTAAACAGAACAGAGGACATGAACAATCAGCCAAACCATTTCAGAAACACAACTCCAGATTAATAATTTCATAATTAATGAAAATATAATTGTCGAAATTAGAGTTAGAAGACATTCTGTGGCCAATATCCAATAACTCTGATATCTAAATTTTGCATACTCTCTTCAGTGTTAGAACTCATCAGCAATGACATGATAGCTGCTGCAGAAATGAAACAACTCATCCTGCTTCAGAGTGGAGACTCTCTCATGGCCTCACATTCTGCTGTGAGAGAGTTGGGCGAGCTGCTGTTGGATGCAGAGGACAGAGTTGACAGAGCAAGGGGTCTTAACCTCAAGAGTCGTACTGCCCTACAGGAGCTGCAGGTAATGGGAAATAAAGCCCTCATTGGCCATGTCATACATTTCTGATGACACACTGTTTTATCTTTCTTCTTTTTCCAGCATCTTAAAGCTCAGCTGGATAAAGAACAAAGCACTCTCCATCCTGTGACTGAAATGACTAAAGATCTGCTAAAGAACATTACTGACATTTTGTCGATACTTAAGGAAGTTAAAAAAGTAAGAAGCAGCTTTTTATAACTTCTCAAAAGTATTGGACTTTGCATTAAAGTTTACTGTTTAAATTGCAGGAATTTGAGAAGCGAGCAGCTCAGTTGGATGCCAAGCTGGAATACTTTCAGCAGTTAAACAACAGTTTAATAATAGCAGAGGTGGAAGCTATAGCCCAGGCAGAGGAGCATGCAAAGGAGCTCAAAAGAGTGGTGACAGAATTACAACAGTGAGTGTGAATCCCAAGAACAAATAAAGAAGCAAGGCAGATTTAGATTAGATTGGGCCCCGTTTCTTGTTTAACATAATAGACCATCTTGGATTTTGTTACAGAGCGCTTCATACCGCTACTAACAGCACTTCACTGGTCAGCCTCCTGGGTATAGGGGCCTATGACAGCATCATTAAGGCAGTAGAAATGGCTGAGAAGGCAGCAAAGGAGTCCAAAAGGGCTGCTGATCAAACCTTAAAGGTAACTTCAGTGCTGTTAGTAAGAGTTATTAAAAAATCTACGTGTTTATAGAAAATATTAATGCAATATTTGAATGATAAATTAGGATGTGAAGAAGGGAGGTCTGATCAGCAGGTCTGAACAGCTGAAAGATAACTCAAGTCATCTATGGAGGGAAACCAGAGACACTCAAAGTCACCTTAAAAGTATGTAAAAACAAAACAAGTATCAAGACAAATATATTGAGTTTGAATGTGCAAAATGAAAAGGTGTTCTAATTTCTTTTGAACAGCGGTGTCACGTACAGTAAATGCTCACAGGAATCGTGTAAATAAACAAAAGAAAAAAAGAAGATCACTGAGAATCGACACCTCATCCATCGGTGACAAACTCAAAGAGATCAAAAGAGGTTTGTAGAGCACTTGGAATTGATGCAGATCAGAAAATAAACGTCAAATTAGTTATTGTATCTGCATATGATAGTTTTTCTTTTGTATTTCAGATGACACAGCGGCACTGATAGTGTCTGTGAAAACTGCTGCTTCTGATGCTAACGCTACAGTCAGCAGTGTGAAAGAGAGACTGAGAAATATCAGCGAGGAAGTGGGAAGAATAACTTTAACCAATATCAGTGTGAATATAAATGACATGTTGACAGATGCAGACCAGGCTGGTAAGTGTTTAAATTACTTAAACATATTCTTGCAGTTAAAATGCAGTCATTTAAAGGTTTTATGTGTTGTTATTTTATCCGCTTAAGTAAAAAGCTTCAACAAAGCATTCCCTGTGATGAGTGACAAGCTCGCAGAAGTCAAGGCTCTTGGTAGGAGGATGTCACCTCACCCAAACATGACAGAAAGCATCCAGAGAATCAAGGACATAATAGAGGAGACAAGAAACTTTGTTAATAGGGTAACATTTTCTTTTTAATTTCATCTTTCCTATTAATTTCTTAATTGACTTGTCAGATTTGATTTAAAGCTGGAACAGCCTCACAGTGTATGACAGTACAGTGTGCATATGAAATGTGTAGCTTGCAGACTTGAACAAAAACTAAAAAAAACTTTAAAATAATAAAAATGAATACAAAAAATAAATAAATAAAATCATGTCACAAAAAATTGCACTAAATTAAATGCTTGACTCCAAGACATTAAAAGACCATGTGGCAACAGAAAAATGAACAACAGGTGGTACATATGCTGGGGCGAGTGATTAACTAGTTGAATAAAAGTGGCACAGAAAATAGAGGGAAGCAGGATGTTATTAACGATCACAAAGAAAATATTATTCAATAAAACAGGAAGTAACTCAAACAGGAGTATTAACAATACGAGCAAAAACAATAATACAAACTTTTAATCTAATTACAAGATATTAATTTTTTTTAATAAATATCTTTTTTAATGATTGTTAATGTAAAGTGTTACCTGTTATTACCGAGACAGATATTTTATTATGTTTGCAATTTACTTTTCAAGTCAAGGGACGTTCATTTATTTCACACATTAAAGCACAGCAGACCCTGACAAAAGTGCTGCACAACAATCGATACAACAATTAGGAAAACATAATAATATGATGAAAGGTTATTAAAGGTTAATAAACTAAACAAGAGGTTTGACTTTCATTATTAAAAGGAGCTAGCTATAGTGACAGATTTAATCTGTCTTTAATTTCAGAGAGGAATCACAATTTACACCAGGTTTCTTTACATGACATTAAGGTATGAAGCCTGAGACAGAATAGGGCCTTTAATCGACCCCTGTGGTGCTCCACGGGTCAAAGTGGACGCTTTAGAACAAATCCTACTGGAAAAAGAACCGTTAATCAGATATGACTTTAATCAGTTTGGAGCAGTGCCATTGATATCACTACACTGCTGAAGATAGGAAATTAATATTTCATGATTCACTGTATCAAATGCAACAGTAAGATCAAGTAATATAAGAACAGATGAGTGATCAGCATTGACAATATAGAAGAGCCATTATAAACTCTCAAAAGTACTAATATATTGCTTAAGGCTGTTTCAAATTAACACATTATATATTAAGTGCTATGTAAGCACTATCCAAAGAGAATTCATTTGGCCTTGGAGTGTGCAGAGATTATCTTCAGTATTTCCCTTGTTTTTGGTGAAAGGAGGACAGAGCATGATAGCTGGATTGTATTTTGGCTTGATTCATAGACAAAGCTGAAAGTATTTTCCCCTCTTATCAGGAGTAACAAGGCTGCCAGCTATGGGAAACGAAATTTTTGCACAGCCCAGACTGACATCTGTTGTCTGGAGGATCAACCAGGTTACAGGGTCAGCTACATGCGACTGCTGAACACAATACGGCCTTAAATGCTGGTGCTGAGTCAAAAAGCTAATATACTTGGTTACATTTTTTTTTGCTGAGTCTGACCTTTCAGAAATAAACAGACTTTACCAGCTAGAATTACTACTTGGATGGTGACATTACAATTATTTACATGTGGGAAGCTGCTTCATTTAGTAACTCTGATGCAAACATTCACATCGGAAATACCAAAAACCCCCAGAAATTCTGCTTGAGTTGGTGGAGCAAAAATAGAACTCAAAGTAGTGCAACCTTGTTTCCATTACCCCTAATTTGTAAAAATAAAATAATAAATGTATGAATACAATAGTTTATTTTTTAAAAACACATAAATCATCTGTTTTTGTGACACACACAATTTCTACCGTCTCTTATCACAGCTCTCTCTTGGCACCACTTTCAATGGAAAGAGCCACATTGAGCTTCACCCTCCAAGAGACCTTGAGGACATTAAAGCGTTTACAGCTGTCGATCTTCTCCTCAATCGGCATCACAAAATCCCGGCTAAGTCTGATGTGAGACGAAAACGACACCAGGATGAACACAGAGATGCCAACCTGTTCGTTTTCTACCTGGGCAGCAAGAATGTGAGCGTGCATACCGGCCTACACAGGAAGCATGATGTAGTTTTTTGTTTTTTTCTTTAATATACCTTAGGTTTCTTTTATTACATTTCTAGGCTTCTGGAGACTACATTGGAATGGCTATCAGAAACACTGTGTTGGTTTGTGTCTATAAGTTGGGTGGAGTGGTTCATGAGATAGAAACCAGCCAAATAACACTCGGAAGCGTGAACTCCTCAGCCGTTGACAGAGTTATCTTCCACAGGTACTGAGTACATATGGTAGAAGTGTATTTTAAAACGAACTTGGATTTGCTAGCTGAAAGTTTACATGATGTCACCAACATGTTTCTTATCTTCGTGCCAACAATTCCTGCAGGGTTTACCAGGACGCTGAAGTGAACGTCACAAAGAACTTCACGTCAAAGGAGCGTGTCAGTCTCCCTCCTAAACGTAACCTCCCAAACACAATGACAGGCGTCTTCGACTTGGATCCAGGCAGCGTCGTTTTCTACGTGGGGGGCTATCCCGATTACTTCACTGTAATAAGTCTCTGCTTTCATTTCATCCTGCCTGCAAATTTATAGTGTTTAAAGGGGTAGAGAGTTGAAAGATGACTCAAAGCCAATTCAAACTCATTTAATAAGCTTGTGTAAAATTGTAAACGTTGCAATAGCAATGATAACTTTTGTATAACACACAAGCAAGCACACAGAAAGTTTAGACACTGTGTCTTTCATTTGTTTAGCCAACGATAATGGGTTTTAAATAAAGGAAAAGCTAACATATAAAAACTAGTTTCCAGCACACACAGCTTCAGTTGACTTGATGGGTGGAAGAAGTAAAGAAAAAAGTACGGAAAAAGGTTTATTGTATTGTTTATTGTCAAGATTTTGACTCATGGGGTAACTCAACGTATTGCATGATTTTCTAAGTTTTCTTTGAAAACTATTTGGAATTTATTTGATGCTGAAAGAAGTGTTTTGATGGAAGCCATGATCTCCCAATTTTGATATGGATTTGATTTTATATATTATATCACTGTTTTATAGTATATATGACAATATTTGTTTTGTGGAAATAGGGTTCCATAGACTGCATGAATGACATACAACAGTCTTATTCAGAGACTGAAATTGAACAATTTAGTGAGAAAGGTACTTTTTGTGAAGAAGTTGAAATACAAAGTCCCTATCACAGTCTGTCATCATCCTTTTGTGGGAATGGGTTAATGAAAAATAGCTTAGAGCTTCTGAGCCCTAGAGAACAGGAGTGTACTCAACAAAATCATTTGCATTAGTAAATGACATGTTCACTTTTTCAGTCCAATTTTCAGTCCTCTTTTGTTCTCATAGCCTCCAGTGGAGCTGCGTTACCCCAAGTACAGAGGAGCCATAAAACTCTCCTACCTGAATGATAATCCTGTCTGCCTTTTTAACTTCAAACATGCTGTCAATATGGATGCAAAACAGCACACTGTGAAGTAAGCATAAAACAAAAAATTAAAAATAAAGGTCGGACATTGTGTTGACTAGAAAAGGTCAAATAATGATTAAAGTATGTGTTTAGGATTGCACAGGAAGAGGTGTCTGATTATTATGAAGGAAGAGGTTACCGCATGGCGTTCATAAAGGATCCTGACTGGAAAAAGAGGCGACTGTTCAGGTTTCACACAAACAGCCGAGAAACAAATGCCTTGTTATTCTACATTGGAAACAACGTAGGATTTTAATTTTTGAATAGATGCTTGAAGCACTTATATAACTGCATGTTTAACAAAAAAACAAACAAAAAATGATTTAAAATTCATGTGTTTCTTCTGTTTTAGGAGTCCTTTTTCTGTGTGTTTGTGGAGAGAGGCTTCCTTGTGCTACAAGGTCAACAAGCTGACAGAGAGATTAGACTTCGGAGTGCTGAAAGAGTGTCTCTGTTTGTAAGAACAACAATACAATTAGTTACCTTAAAAAACTTGAAAGTCTTTTTGTTAAATTCATGCCTTTCTAAGCATATGCTTCCTGTTTCAGGACACGCAGTTTGCAATTGCCATTGCAGATAAATTAATTGTGTACTATGGGCAAAATACGGTCTCCACAGATCACATTCAAACAGACTACATCAGTTATTACATTGGGGGTCTTCCAGCAGAGCTCAGAGAGAGGTAATGCAACACACGATGCTTTTAAAATCATGTCAAACTCAGCTTCCTCTGGGAGGGGAAACAAATAATTCCCTACTGAAAGACTTACAAAAAAATCAAACCACTCTCATGACCATTACTATATGACATATAAATGCCAGTGCCAATGTGTGTGTTGAGTAGTCTAGAAGAAAACAGTATCAGCTAATCAAACTGACCTTTTCTATGAGCCTGTCTGCCTTTGAATCTCAGACACAACATCACAGCTGCACCGCTCAGGGGATGCGTGGATAACCTGAAAGCAGATGCTGAGATTGTCGAGTACAACAGGACAATAGGTGTCAGCAGTGGATGTCCAGTCTCCTCACTGGTAATTTACCGCAAATATGTTCACAAATCTGCATTAAAATTTCTCTCAGATGATCAGAGGATAGACTTTTTGAAACTTTTTTTTTTAAAATAAAAGATGGACTTAACCGCAGAGTCTGAGTAGTGAAGCCAGTGCAGAAGTGCACGACACCTGCCTGGTTTTTAATGCACAGCAGGGGGGTAATTCTCCTTAGTCAGACTTTAAAAAAGTTTATGAGAAATTGTACCTACTTCTCACTTCATTTTAGCTCTTCAAGAACTTGTTGTTTTGATAACTTTGTGTCTTATATAATAACGCAGAGTGTTCCTTTTTAAAATTATGGCCCAATTAAGTATCTAAGTATGAGAATTGATGCCTGTGCAGCGGTGCTTCGAATGTGCCTACTTTCTAATGCACAGCAGGAGGAAAACTCCTCGTTAGTGTGTTTGTACCTGCTCGTACAAATGTACTTACTTCTCACTTTTAGATCTCAGTACCCCATCAAATTGTTGCCTTATTAACTTTGTGTCTTATGTAATATAGCAGCGTGTTCTTTTTGAAAATTATGGCCCCATTAAGTGTAAAATAGATGTTTAATTGAGGCGCTTCACGGCAAGGTACCTTGTGATTGACAAACCCCTTATCACAGTTTTCCAGTCAGAGACACCCCTCACTTAACAAATCCATGAACCATGATGAACCAATCGTCATTGTGAAGAATAATCATGAAGTCAGTAGCATGATGTGGCCAATATTAGCCATCACACCTACCTGGAAATAACAGGGGAAAAAAGACTGTAGCAGCAGTTTGTTTCTTACATTCATATTAAAATAATATAACTGTCACGGGCTTAAATTAGTTGCCAGTGGTTACTCATTAAGGATATAGCAGTGTATTCAACTTCAACAATAGTGCGCTTTATTACTTAAAAAGTTAACTTTTCATTTGTAGGTGGAAAAATGTGACATTTCCTATTTCAAAAGTCAATCTCTGTCTAGCTTTAAAGCACTAAATGAATAGCCTGTAGACACAGGGGTCTAATACTAGTGTGTTTCTGGCTTGTGTATAGGGTGTTCGTGCAGCTACATTGAATTCGGCTCTTTCTGTCGATTCTCTGTTTGCCTGGGACGAACAGCCAGTGAGAGTCTCGTTAGGCTTCAGGAGCACAGGCAAGCGGGGCGTTGTTCTGAAGAGCGGCTCTCAGGTAAATCTTGTGTGCCACACTTTTTGATTCAAAAGAAAATCAACAGGGAAATATCAAGATGGCTTTAGTAGTACTCTCACTGCAGGGCTCCGAACCTGTCCACAATCTCCAGTTGTCCCTGGACGATGGCTTTGTGGTTTTTCATAGTTTTAATTATACCCTGAGGTCAAATGAAAGGTATAATGATGGAGTCTGGCATTACGTGTCTGCAGTGGGGAAGCCATCAGGGTAAGATCTGTCAGCTTTTTGCTGATACCTGGATTTTATTGCAATTAAAATTTAAAATCAGCACGTCGCTAATGTTGTCGTGATTTTCTCAGGCTGCTGCTTAGCATTGACAATGTAAATGTGAGTCCGGCACATTCAGACCAAATCAGCATGCAAAGAGGAAAATTCAAAGGCTGCATTGCTAATCTTTATACAAGCAGGTTTGTTATACATTCTTTCAGTTGCTTTATAATATATCTCACAATATATATATCTGTTTATTACAATAACACGATTCAATTTTGATGAAACAAAATCTCCTCATTTCACACAGGCCGAGTATTTTACCTGCTGATCTAAGCTCATTATCGCAAACTGGAGACATTATCTTTGGTCAGTGCAGTCAGCCTCCCCCACCGCACTCCACAATGAAAAGGCCCCAGACGCACAACCTTGTAAGCACATCAAACTATTATTTTTTTCAGCTCCCCTATTGCTGGATAATGACATAGTAACAGCAGTCATTTTTCTGCTGTGTGTCAGATTACGACTCCAGCTGGCAGTCAATGTAGACCCCAGAGAGCATACCAACTCTATGAGAAAGACAGCTGGGTCAGTTACAACCTCCCACAAGAAAACCTTAATTATAGGTAAAATACTAAAACCTGAAAATTATAATGCCATTTTCCATGACTGGTTTGGTTTGGTAACCTTTAGAGTGCCTCGTCAAACCTTCATCCAGCTGTGAATTCATTCATAAACATTTAAAGGGACTTTGTTCTTGTTCTCATGTGTCTCAGGCCTCACTTCTCTCTTGATATCAATACCAAATCGTCCAAAGGGCTCATCCTCCATGTCGCAGGAAGAGGAGCCGTCCCCCTCCTGGCTCTGTACATGGCCAACGGCAAGATCAAGATGTCACTTGGTCAAAACAGAATCATCCAGCACAAGGAGAAGAGCAATGATGGCAACTGGCATAGAGTTTGTAACCAAGTCTCATTACAAATATTAAGTGATAAAAGCAGCAAAGCTCTAAACATTGGACTCCTGATTTCAAAGGAACAGTTGCAGATATATGGGAATTTCGGTTGCTTATCTCACATAGATTTTATCAGCAGTAGGATAAAAGTAGAAAACTAGAAAACCAGCAAAATGCAAGTCAGACTAATCGGATTGAACAAAGAAGCAAAAGAAACACAGGAAAAAGGCAAACACTAAGAAACATGAGGGAGGAGACGATATCTCTAAAGAGGAGATCAATGGAACAAAAAAAGGTAACCAAAACTAAAAGAATAAACAAAATAAATTAAAAAAATAAAATAATAAAGAAAAACAATAATTAATATTACTACTGTTGGCAGCTGGGCAGCAGGTATCATTCATTAGAGCAAACAAATATAACCTTTACAGCAGCACCAATTAAGCTTTGATTGGATGACAAAATTAACAACAACAAAAACCAATTTGTTTTTTGTTGTTCCCAAGTGTCTCACAGGCAGAGAAAATATATATGTTATTCTTCTCAAAAAGTAAATGTATTTATTTCCCTAAACAACGGGCAGTGCCAAAATGAAGCGTTAAGGATTTAAATGGTGCAGAAAAGAAAATTACTGATATCAGAAAGCTTCCAATGGGAATTCAAACACCGCTAACAAGAAATATATATACAAAATATATAAAATACATTAAAAAAAATAATTACATAGTGGGCAATTACATAATGGAACTGATTTTTGAAAGTTTGTTGGAGCATAAATGGAAAGCAGGAGGAACAACTAATTTCTAAATCACTTTTATCATAAACAATCAGGACATAACTCTTAATATGCAGGGGAAAAAATGCAGTAATTCTTTTCTCATATCTGTGTGTCATATCACAATCATATCACAGTGATGGTGAAGTTATATTCTGTGGATGGCTGAGTTTGTTTGCGTGTGCGCAGGTTGAGTTCAGCGTGGAGAACAGCACTTTTCATCTTCTGGTTGATGGGATCCGTGTGACTGATGGCCGCTTACCAAATAATGAGGGATCATCTTTAGACCTGCACAACCCTGTGTATCTGGGAGCTGGTACAAAAAGCAAAAACACTAAAGTCTGTATCAGACTCAAGCTATGGCAAATATTTTCCCACATCTTTTTGTTTGCACACTGACCAGCTTCTCTTTTCTCTTCCTGTCCTTTATCAGGGACACAACATCCCCACAGACAGTGTTATCAGCTGTATAAGGGAATTCAAAATGAATGATGTATTTGTTGGTGCAGCTGAGGTGAGCCACAAAGCCTTACCGTGCTTTCATGGGCTTGCAGAGGAAGGGACATACTTTGGTGGCGGTCACATCGTCTTAGGTTTGGCCTTGTATTTCAAAAATCTTGATGCTGCTGATGTGTTTCAATCATCCGCACACTCATAAAGAACAGTTCTATTCTAGATAACTACTTCACCGTTGGCTCGCACTTTTTGTTGTCCTTCAAGCTGCGCCCTCAACACCTCACGGGTCTTCTCTTCCACGTTCAAAGTGATAAGACCAGCCTTAATGTGTTCTTAATGGAAAACAAGGTAAAACCTCTCGCTCTTGTGACAGCTAATTGGGCAATTCAAAAGAAAAGCTGCATGAGATGACAAAATATGTTATGTTTTACCAGGTGGGCGTCAAAGCAAATGATGGTAATGGAGCTGTTAGTGTCTCAGTAACACCTCGTAAAAGCCTCTGTGATGGAAAATTTCACGAGGTTACAGGTAGGACATCGTGTATTAAAAACATCCAAGAACGTGAGTCACATGTTGATAGTTGTGCTTTTAAAATTCTTCTGTTATTGTTGTTTCTCAGTCTCCAAAAAAAGGAACGCATTCCAACTAGTGGTTGACTCCGTGTCCAAGGAGAAAGCAGGCCCCAAATCCACGTCATATTCAACGGCCCTGGAATCGCTTCACATTGGGGGTAAATCCATGAACCGCTGGGCGTTAAATCTTTCAGAGAGTATCAGCTTTTTGTCGTATAATCTGATCAGAATCTCTTTGTGCTTTTTCCTTTCCTGAATTAGGGACAACAAATCAAAATGGAGCCCCTGTGCCTTCACCTTTTGTGGGCTGCTTGCGAAATGTGAAGCTTAATGGAAAGCCGGTTGCATTTGAGAAAGCCTCCAGAGTGGTCGGTCCAGTGAGCATCAACAGATGCCCCGCAAACTAATGAAATACATCATTACAAACAGGGATGGGAATAGTAAACCTAGTTAGGCTGAAATCAAGCAACAATTTTTCCAATCTAACGGAATTGTATTTCTCTAAGCTTCAGTTCCTTTTTTCCACCACGGGAATGTTTTCCTGATATTTGCTCATTACAAAGCAATGACGCCAAACTCATGATAGCGAGTTGTAAATCACCTGCAAGCTTATTTTCTACTCTCCCTACACTGTTCCAGACTCATTGATATTAAAATAGTCGCCCTGAAGCTGAAAACCTGTTACGGTCTACTTTTATTTCCCCACAGAACACTGATAAGGTGAGAAAACTGATAGAGACTCAGTTCAATGCAGCCACAACAGCAAAATTTGCCATAAATTTAGCAGTGGATTTTAAACAAATCCACCCCAATCCCATCTATTAGCTGCGCTAATCACCCTGCCTTGCAGCAAGAAGGTCTTGCGTTTGAATCCCGAGACTCTGTGGCTGTTCCCCATGGAGTGTGCATGCTCTCCCCATGTCTGTGTGGGTTCTCACCAGGTACTTTGGCTTCCTCACACATTCCAAAGGCATCCATGTTATGTTAATTGGTTATTCTAAATTGGCTGCAGGCGTGAGTGTGAATGGATGTTTATCTATCTGCGTTAGCTCTGTGATCTGTCCACAGTGCAACACACCTCTCACCCAATGACACCTGCGATAAGCTCCGGCATTACCATGACCCTGACTTCCATACACTGGAGAAAATAGATGAATGAATTTTAAACATCTGATATATTTATCTGTCGCAATATCAGTCGCTTAACATTAACACAAAACCTTATTAATCAGTATAGCAATATCCATAAGAAACAGCATCAGTTCATTCCCGTGTTTAAAATTAAGGTAAATATTACATACATACGCACCTTACTCATACTAATAGCCTTAATTCTGCCCTACGTTTGACCAATAGATGGAGTGCTTCCCTTCATGTAATGCGAGCTGTTAGTTCACATTTACTCTCAGCTGGTGATGGCAGCAAAACATTACCAAGAACTTGATGGTGTCAAGGTTCAAGTGAATGACATGGATGGATTTCCCCCCCACAAATTGCTTTTTATTTTCTGTCTGTAGCAGTAGTGGTAGTTAGCACACACAGGCTTGAAGACTGTATTCTGCCCTGTAATTCAAGTGCACTGTAAAGCTGCTCAAGTCATATGAAATGAAGTTTGTCTTTTTTGTTTAATTTTATTTTTGCCCTTTGATATTACTATACAGTTCACACACATAGAGAGTGGGTAACTAAGTACAGAAGAAAATATATAGTTATTATTTATAGTGTAGTTATACTTTTATTACGAAAAATATGAATAAGATCACTTTAAATGTCTAATAATCTGCTCTACGTTTAAAATAAGTGAGATGTCATAAAAAGTAATAACAATAAATGTACAGCAGATTATTTTAAATGATACTAAACACTGCAATCAATTACAATAATGTGTAACAGATATAAATATAAGTATATTCTGATATATTTGCAGTTCATCAATATGCATGCGAAACTTTACTTTAAATGGTTGGCTAATTAGAAGTGACTCATAGAGGTCATTAAATGAGTGACAGAATATTTTAAATGTCTAAGAAATAGTCATAAATTATTCTAAATGTGCAATATGTAAATTACTACACATCCAAGCGGGCTGCATTAAATGACTAATCAATTAGGGTTACAAATAGATTATGATATAGGCACGATTTATTAAATATCCATCTATTCAGATTCTGTTGAGGCTTAGCATTAGATTCATGTGTTCACTTTATTTACAGGTGGCTGTGGACCATCACTGTAGAAAACTTCATCTCTGCTCAAGTTGAAACACTGAACTGGACTGCACTGTATTTGTGGCCCATCCCCCCCAAAATCTTAATTTTTGCTGAGTAAAATTATTTTCTTTTTGTTTTTTTTAATGTTAGTCTCTTTTCTGTGCTCAGTCAGTTGCTCAATAAGCTTGCATGACTTAGCTGATAACTTACCACTTCGCCCTCATGTCTAAATATGGATATTCTGGCTCAAAACGCAATCACAGTGGCCAAACTGCCATCACTGAGGCTTTGCTCGTGGTTTATATCAATCTATGTCTTCAGCAGTCAGAAAAATATAAAAACAAATAATAAAAAAAATCATATTAGTCAGTTCTTAATGTATCTTTATAAGGTTGAGACTAATACAGAAAATTTACAGTGGGTTTTGTTCTGTAATCTTTTTTCCTTCACAAAGCAAAATACAGGAGAAAATAATCACAATCCACATTAGACGAGTAGTGGGTGGGCAATGCAAGTCCAGAGCGAATGTAAATAACATGATGAGGTCACTGACGGCTGGATTTATGGAAAGTATATACAGATATACAACTGGAGACAAAACACTATTATGAATATTTAAAAGAAGACAGATGGACAGTAAAAATCACAAACCCTATTTACTGTGCTAAAAGTCCATTTTAAAGAAAAACCTCTTTAAGTCAATGCAAATGCTATACTGTCAAACATTTTCTGCACAGCTTCACCTCCATAAAGTAGATTAAGGCCACACTGTTTAAGTACACTTTTTTCATATTGCTTGGTCTTGTAATTTTCCAATAAAAACAGTTCATGCTTTGTGCAGAGAAAGTCCTTTAATAAATGTCCGGCATCTGGCTGTAGGCCCTGTTCCAGTATCCACCACAGAAGAGCCAGTCCTGGGAACTGGTGTGGGGATTTTGCCCCTGTTGAAACCACCTAAAAAAGACATCACAGAAATATCAGCATTCATAGATCCCAGCAGGGCGAGCCAAAACTGAATACAAACAAGAGAAAGTGAGAAAGAAATGTATGATTCGGAGGGAAGATGGGGTGATTGAGTAATTGCATTTGGTGCCATTAAGAGGAGCTGCCATGCTGGTGGAAGGAAAAGCGGATTTATTAAATTTGTCTCTATCATATCTGGATAGAAAATACACACAGTGGTAGATAATTTAGAGACTCAGATGTGTTAAGGTCACGTGATCACATCAAACATTTCAGATGCAAACAGCGAACAGCTCTAACCTCGGGCCAAGGGCAGAGCTTCTTAACGTCAAAGCGAGGATGCAGCAGAAAAAAAAGACAAGTGAAGATAAAATGGAGATACAACTTGAGCTTTTTCAACACGCAAAGTGTGACACCATATAGATAAGAACTGTTAATTCATTGATACACCATGAAAACTTCATATGAGGTAATAGAAAGGCAATGGTATTTTATCTGCACTAACAAAGGCTGATGGTTTAATATTGCCTGGAATTAGTCAGTCCTGCATGGTTTCATGTTTACTGCGTCAAAGTATAAAGAAAGAAGAACAGTCTCACCTCGCCTTCCACTCTTCATCCGCTTTGGAGCGGTTTTTCCGAGCAGCTCGCTGTTTTTCCTCGAGTCGCTTCTTCTCCTCGCTGGCGAGATCTATCAAAATATTTGACATTTTTTGAGGAAGCGAATGAAAATTTCCCCCCAGTTTCAGTTTAGGTTAAGTACCACCAATCATTACCGATGTCACCGTTCTCCATGGCTCGTATGTCCGGTCTGAGCCTGCAGTCAGTCTGAGGGATGACTCCCTCCATCTCCTTATGCAACTCATTCAGCTGCATCGCAAAGCATGTGAAGTTGTACATCTGCAATTAAAGATTGCATTTGTACGTTAAAACATTGGATTTCTTCTAAGACTACCCAATAAAGATCTAATGGTGCATTAATCAGCAGGACCTGGACAGAGTTAGCTGGTCTGGGTGCTATTTTCCACAGCAGCTGGCTGCCAGGAACCACCTCCACAGTGTCTGCAGGTGGTGAAGGAACCTCCTCCTGATCCTCAGCGCAACCCTGAACAGCACGACAAACACAAATAATGCTGAACAGACAGATGAGCTCCAGCCAAGATGCATCATTACAGAACGTGTTAAATATGAACACTAATGATCTCGGTCGCTTTCCATTTTTACCACTGGATGATATTACTCATGCAAACATCACAACAGTAAAGTGAAGGGATTCCACAGTGTTCAGTAATTCATACCGCATTGCCGCCCTTCTTGTCCTCTGCCCCTTTTTTGTTGTTTTTCTTGTGTGCTTCAAAGGCAGATGGGTCAACAACATAGAGGCACTCTGTCCACTTCCCATAGAGAGCACACAGCTTCTTTTTGCTGTCAAACACACACAGACTTGTTGTAATTTCGTGAATACGTACTCTAACCTTAACCATAACCACACAAACACACACGAATGTCCCGAGGCACAAACACTAGTAATGATTTCAGTTGTAATGATTTTTTTTCCCATTCTGTTTTTAGTGTCAACATAACAAAAGCTCAAAAAAAGAGAGAAAAAACCCACACAACACTTTTGCGAGTGGGAGACTTCTGGAAATGTAATGTTTTGAATGAAACCAAAAATCTAGTTTTTGGCCTGGACATCACGTTGAGATAAAAAACAACAAGAAAAAACACAAGCTCTTCTCATCTTCTTGCTTGTTAGCATCTGTTATTGCTGCACATTATTTATCAGCATATAAATCTGGTCTGGCTCTTGTGATCATGCACACTAGTTATGTTTACGATGACTCACTGGATTTGCTTATCCTCCATCTTTAATCGAACTGCCCCCGTTTTTGTTTTTACCGTTTGCTGATTTTAACCGCCTCTCCCACACTCGAGTATTTTGACTTTTATTTTGTCAAAAAGGCAATTAACACTGCAATGAGTTATTAACCATATGAATTGTTAAGTGGTTATTTGCACAATGATTCAATTTTAAAATAGGTTGATACTACATTTTGTAGATCCTAATTTAGAAATGAAGCACCTTTAAACAGCTGCTTATTCAGACATATCCACCCAAACATATGGGGAGGGGTGGATGAGGGAAAAATTGATAGTATAGGCAGATAAATAAGCTATCTGACACTCACTGTCATTCCATGTAATATGGAAGAAAACTAATGTTTCACAGTGTCCTATGGTATGTTTCAATGTGTGATGTAGATTCAGACTTAAAGATTAAAGAGAAGGCATTTTCTCCCACTCTCACATCACTATTTTATTCAACATTCAAGACTGAAATCCGTCTTCTCTGCAAAGACGGCTCATTATTTAAAAGACATCTCCGAACATCTTGCTCTACCTTTTATCCAGAATATATCCTTCAACTTTGTGTAGCTCTTTTCCAAAAAGGCCACATGGTTTGAAGTTCAAGTAGCACCTTTCACCAGTTCTAAGTGAAAAGAGAAACAGGATGAGTCACACAAGACTTCCTCATTTGCTCTGTCTGTTTTCTTCAAGAGCAACACTTCCCCAAAATATTTTATCAGTTGTATCACACTTTTTCTTTAGCCGTAATTTGAAACACATGATACTTAGATATTAGGTCAGTGCTACGTGTTCCTTTTCATGGCTGCATGCATTGTGTTATAATGGAAGCATGAATAAAAGGAACACGTTATTAAGTAGCGTAGCTTAGCTGGCTAATGAAAGAAGTGTTTGATGTGAAACATCATGGCTTCAGGCCACTTTATTTTCTTTACTTGCCTTTATCTAAGAAAGAAAAACCTCTGTTATAAAGTCCCATGAAAGCTAATGACAGCATTTTAAATCTTGTAACACAAACGTCAGACTGCTCTTAACAATACAACATAAAACACAGTTTTTTTGTTTGGTTGGCTAAGCATTGCTTCAATTTAACTTTACTGCATGTGCCAGTGATAACGATGGTTTCATTTTGTTTTTCATGAAATAATGTAATAAAGACCAAAGGCTGCTTCCTATTTGATTATCGCATATTAAAACATGTTTAAAATGCAAATGCAGACAGTATAACACTGTGAATCACATTTCACTTTATTTCTTTGCCTTATTTTAATTAAGACATTTTAATGCTTCAATAATTCTCAACAAGTACTTTATGTACAAGCATTTTACATGCTGATCCTCTTACCTGTGGTTGACCACCTCCACATTTCCATACTGTTCAATCCACAGCTGACCAACAATGATATTGTGAACACAACATGTGGGATTTGTCCATGTGTAGGCTTCATTGTGCCTGGAGGGGAAAAAAAACCCAAAACAGTTTGGCACAATGTGCACTTTCAAAATGGTAATAGAAAAGGCGATAGGCGAATTGGTAAAAGGATAAATATTGATACAGGTAATATTTCCTTTTTAAAAACAGCTAGCAGCTCTTACTTGGGCAGCTCCAGTGTGATTGTGCCTTTCGGCTCAGCTTCCACACTCTTGCCCCAGAACTTGAGTTTGGGATAAATAGAGCCATGAAAAACAAAGTCCTGCTTCAAGCCCTCAGCATGGAAGGCGCTGACCGGAGGGTGATGGCTCACCTGCTCTGAGATGAGCCTGAAGCCCAGATCCTCCCTGAAATAACCAGGGACACGGCTATGATGAATGGAGGCATTTGAAGACAGCTGTGTATGTTTGGTAAGCTGCACAGCAGAATTTAAGAACTTGTTGCTAGATAAAATACACTCAGTCGCCACTTTAGTACCACACTTGCTCAACCACTTGTTAGCACAAATATGTAATCAGTCAATCACACTGAAGCAACTCTGTGCATTTAGGCGCACGTGACCTGCTGAACTTCAACATGGCATGATCGTGGGTGCCAGATGGGACTGTCTGACTGTGTCGCAGAAACTGCTCATCTACTGGGATTTTTTTGGCCCAAAACAGAGAAAACATCCAGTTAGCGTTAGCTCTCTGAATGCACAACATGTCGAACATTGAAGCAAATGGGTTACAACAGCAAAAAACCCACACCAGGTACCACTCCTGCCAACTAAGTTTAAAATTCCCACAGCCAAAATTGGACAATACATGAATGGAAAAATATTGTTTGGTCTGATGAGTTTCCATCTCAGCTGTGACATTTGGATAGTAGGGTCAGAATTTCGTGTAAACAACACAAAAGAATGGATTCATCCTGCATTGTATCAACAATTCAGGCTGCTAGTGCTGGTGTAATGGTGTGGCAGATATTTTTTTGGCACACTTTGAACAATGTTTAAACTCCACAGCCTACCTGAGTATTGTTGCTTACTAATTCTAGCTCTGTATGACCACAGTATACCCATTTTCTGCTTCCAGGAGAGTAACGACCCTATCACAAAGCTCAAATTATCGCAAACTATAATTTTTGAACATAAATAATCTGAAGTTAAAGTGGGATCTGATCTGCTATTTGCAATATGCACCTAATATAGTATCCAGTGAGTGTATTTTGTTAATTATCATCATAATTAATATCCTACACTAAAGACTGGGTAGCTACTTCAAAATGTTTAATTGCAAAGATATTGCTCAGAATTTTTCATACAGTCAGGTTTGGACATGATCTGGACCAGCTCACTTACCTGACTAGTTCATAGGTTTCTCCCAGTAGAGGGTTGAATGGTTTACCTGTTCGCTCCCACTGGGAGGCCACAGCGGACACTGCAAACGCAGCCACACACTGCCACAGTAGATAAAAAACACACACCAAATCAGAGAAACTAAACTAGAAGCAAAAAATTGTTAAGCTGTGCCTGTGGGCAGTTTAAGTAGAAAACCTATGAACTACCTTCATTCTCTCAATAGAATCTGAAGATGCGTTGGCCTGGTGAATGAGGTACGTGTGCTCCATGTACTCTGTGAGACGCTGCAGGAAGCTAAGCGGCTCGTTGAAAATCACTGGCATTGTAATCTTGGAGAGCTCCTGAAAGGGACATCAAGGAGAATTGAAGGACAAGGTTTCATTACAAAGAGGAAATAAGGTCTTTTGACATGGCAGTGCTCCGAGCTGCTGAGTGTTAAAAAGGATCAGTGTTTGGTCGTTTGGTACATACAAGCATTTACGTTGCTCTGGACCAAAGTATCTACCGCATTAAGGTGAGTATTTATTGCTGTATTTGCTGGTAATAAAAGAAAAAGCTTCAGAAAATTCTTCAAATAGAAGAATGACCTTGTGAGATGAAAGTCATCATGATTCACCCTGACACTTAACCCGAGACTTTCAGAATATGTGATTTTTTTTGCTTGATTTCCCGAGTTCTGCTAGGAGTAGGTTAGTTACACAGATGTCATATTTTTTTTTATAAAAAAGGGTTTGGAATTATGTTTTTGGCTACTTGATAAATATAGTCATTCTCCATTAGCTCTTCTGGCCTCTATTTGGAATTTAAGTAGCTAAACACTCAACACTCTAGCTTTCTTCTTCTTCTCTTTAGTGCTGAGAAAATAGTGTACATTGTGTTTTTTTCCACAGCTGCTTTCTGCGGTGCTTGGAAACTAAACCTAAGGGTTGGTTCAGAGCTGCAGATTTATAATACAGTCAATTTAAGTTTAGTGTGCACTAATGCAGCTTAGGCTAAAAAAATTTATTTGTTTTTGCTAGTATCAGGACATAAATCAACTTACTGGCAAACTATCGGAAAAAGAGTCACCACAAGTGTAACTAAGTGTTGTCTGCACCTGCACAAGGCTATTTATAGAAAACCATTCTCACCATTCCAATGCAGTTCCTCAGAATACTCCAAATGCTGAAGTCATTTCTCGAAAACATTGGCGCCGGTAAGCTTGTCCTAAAATGACACGTGGCACACATACACACACACACACACATACACACACAAAATTACAGTACTTCTAAAAAGTGTATGTGATGCTTTCATTTTGTTCTAGTGCACTAAAAATATTCCACTGGAGTAAATGTGCCAGACATACAATACCTGCTGCAAGCATCACATCAAGTGAATATAGTCAACAATAGCCTAATGTATTATGTGACACACTGGAACAAAGCCCAGACAGACAATACCAGCAGCAAAGGTGGTTAGCAGGAATCATCCATCAGCAGCACTTATGTCCTGTCTGTCTCAAACTGTCTAATAAGGTGTGCAGGCTGGAGATTAGTTTAAAGTACAAAAATAAAATGTAAAAACCGAGGCGTTAGCGTAATGATGACATTTAAAAATCACCCAAATAATGTGAACCGCACTCCCCAGCTGCCCGAGGGATCAGCCAACAAGGGATCATACTGCAAACTGATTATTGCATTACACTGTGACCTTATCAATATTTAACGGCTCCAACAGAGAGCGGAGTCCTTTCTATACTACAACTCCTTCTTGTGCCTTTACCAGGCTGCCTATGACTCTAAATTATTCACACGGTGAAGTGGAAACACCTCAAGAAGTTAAAAAGATCACTGAAAAAAAAAGGACTGTTCGAGTGGGTTATTAAATATCTAACACTGCATAGGTCTAACAACAATATAGATTTGATGAAAATAGGCTTATGGAAAAAAAGATTATAGATTATAGTGGTAGTAGTAAAGATTAAATGAGATGGATACATTTAAGAAAAAACCCCTCAAATTTCTCAGAGAAAAACTTTTATACTTTTGTGAAGACACTTTTTAAATTGATTTATTTTTGCTTTTTATCAGAAAACCACATTGTTTTGCTTAGTAACGTTGGATTAACGTGATCGCACCCCTTACGCCATTAACAATGTCACATAAACTCAAATGGGAGGAAGTGCAACCATATCAATAATGTTACCAAGAACATCTTTGCTTCTTTACTACTTGCTTTGCAGTTCCTAATGAACAAAAAATATCATCCTGGCCAAATTTTCGTTGCTTTTCAGTTACATCAACTAAATAATCTTTTAATCCAACCAAGTGGTGACATCGGTGGTACGATGAGGTTGATCCATCCTTGTAATGTGAAGCAGTGACTAAAATACATTCACCGTGTTCTTGAAAATATTTGAATTTAAATTTTTAAAATAAATTTACGATGTTTAAATAAAAGAAATTTAATTCATTTGACAGGAGTGATACATGTAAACACTGTTACATTTAAATGAAAGTGCAACTGACTGTTATACCTTAGGCTTTTAAAGATACAGCACTCTATTATAAACATAAAGACCATCTATAAACTGAGACAGACAAACAACCACGCAAACAGTAATTATAACAAAAATGATAAAGACTGGACATAAAGACTGAAAACAAAAACAAACAAACAAACAACCCCCCAAGACATTGCATGCATTAAAAACTGATTTAAGTGATGAAATATTTGCTTTAGTTTAAACCATAGTGTTGTACAAATATAGAACTTTAAAGTCAGTGAATGTCGTTATATGTGATGGCAGCAATAGTTTAGATTTTGCTTATTTACACTAGCTTGTCTACATGTGAGAGACAGACACACTCTCTAGTTTAAAGATTAGGCTTAAAGCTTTCTTTGTTAATAAAGCACATAGATACGGCTGGATCAGATGACCCTGAACCCTCTCTTAGTTATGCTGCAGTAGGCTTAGACTGCAGAGTCTTCATGTGATGTACTGTTTCTTCTTTACTGCTTTCTTTTCACTCTGTGAGTGTTTATACACCTGTACTCCATTTAATCATTAGTAATCATTAAACTCTGGCCCTCTCTCCCATAGTGTTGTTTCTCTTCCCTTACCTCTAACCGGTCCCAGGTGGCTGCCCCTCCCTCTTTCTGCTGGAGATTTTTTTCCTGTTTAAAGGGAGATTTTCCTTCCTACTTTCGCCAAGTACATGCTTATTGTGGGTCATGTGAGTGTTAGGGTTTGTTTCTAATATTGGAGGGTCTTTACATTATAATGTAAACTGTTTTGAGGTGAACATGGTTCTGAACTGGTACTAGTAAATAAAATAAAACTGATTTTAATTGTAGTGGCACATTTTTAAAGTTTTATTTTATGTGGGTAAGGCCCTTCACAGATTTAAAAAAAGATTTTATGAACAAGAAATGTATCAAATTCTCAGAGCTGAATAAATTATATATCTTCTGAAATGCATAATGGTTTATTTTTTATTAATGGTTATATTTAGTCTTATTTTGGTTACCTCCACTCAAACATACAAAATGAAAAATATTTCCCAAAGTCTGACTGGGATTCTAATTTGGAATCCTAGACAACACCAAGCTATACAAAATTATTATACATACATAAATTACTTTATGTATTCACTTATCTATTGTCTTATTTAGTCCCTTCTCATCAGTACTGACTGATTTTCAATAAGATACAAGTAAATATTTTACTTTCAATTATATTTAATATTTTGCAAACTAAAAACAGATCACTGAAAAACTCTTCAGCCTTCTGTGATGATACATAAATGTTTGCATCATCAGCATAGAAATGACACTTTATAGAGTAGGCATCTGATATTAATAATATAATAATATATGCATAATATATCTGCAAGAGATTGTTGGTCTTAGAACAGAACCATGCAGGCATTCCACAAAGTTCCACTTCATAAGAACGGGCACTGGAAAAGGTTTTATTCTGGAGTGGAACATCCGTTTGACAGTAGAGTGGACATTCCAGAATGCTCATGATGTGCAATTTCAACTTCCTCTAAGTTTTTCAAGCATGCCTCAAAACTAGCTTAAAGCTTACTGGGAAGAAATAATCTCTTTAAGATTATGTTAAAGAGACTCAGAATTCATAGTATGAGGATCTTCAAGTAAGAAAAATACCAGTCCTACTACTTTATCCTTGCTTTCTGTTCAATTACAGGTTGGCACTTGAATTTCTTGGTCAAAACACAGATTTTTTTTAAACCAGCTGTTAAATCAATTTTCATAAACCTTCACAATCTCAAGAAGAATTAGGTTCTCTTAACTTAAAAATAAGTGTTGCTTTAAAATAAAATAAAAAATTCTCCAATTCCTGACAGACTGAACATATGTTAGTGGTTTCCCTCGGGTATGTTTTTATTAGATTAGCATCAGCTCTTTAGTCTTTAAATTACACAGCTGACTAAATATTCCCTGAACTGGACAAGTGTTTAAGAAAGTGGAAGGACAGCTTAATAAAATACTTTCATGTGTTAGCTAATGGAGTCTCTGATAACTCTATAAATTTGCAGTCAGTTCTTCAACTAAATGGTCAAATTAGGCATTAAGTGCATTTGTAATCTATCATACAATCAGAACCCTTTTTTCTGAGAATATGACCCATTGCCTAGGCCACCCTAAATTTTTTATTTCTTTTTTTTTTTTAACCCAATATGCTGTTACACAAATCTTACACTAATAACAAATTTGAATTAAAGAATTAAAAATTCAACAATATTAGGCTGCTATGTTGTATGAAAGGGCAGTGACTTTGATGGGCTTGTTCATCTTTGGATGTGAGATTAAAAGAACCAGAGGTCAACAGTCCATTTAAGAAACTGTGATGGCATATTGCAGAGCTGACCTATGCTTTGTTATCCCATTGGGTGGAGGCTCAGCCTTGTCACCATGGTGATCCTGCTCCAGCGTGCTGGCGGGGCTGCTGCAAGTGCTGCTTAACATGACAGAGCCTTCGTCCTCGTCCTCGTCTTCCTCACAGGATTGGCTGGCTACCGTCTCAAAGCCGCTCAGGGAAAGCTCAGATTCTGAGTCTGGTGGAGACAAACACATGTAGAGGAGTCACTGCAGGATTACTGTTCAACTGAATATCCTCTGAGTATCTAGAAAAAAGTATTGCTATTAGATAGTTTGTCAATTAGAAGGCACAGAAAATTGTGTATTATTTCAAAATTAAGAAATACTTTTTGTTTATCAAATGTTAAAAGGACAGTATAGTTTCCTTCCCATTACTGTAAGCTGACCGATCGATGTAAAACACCCACCATTCAAAAAAAAACCATTTATGGGCATTATGAATGTGCCTGTACATTTGAGAACAGTGTTGCCGTGAGTTTGATCACAAAACACCAAAGACAAATTTAATTGATACGGATATATTGTTGTAAAATTTATATTGTTTTCCAAAACTAAATTTATAAGCTCAGCATCCAAAATTTGGAGAAAAAAAAAAAGATGTACTACGAGTTGGAAGTATTCATTTTTGCAACAGATACACAGCACAAAAAATATGAATGACTTTTGGTTGAATGCATCAAATAGAAATTTAAAAAGCTGATCAAGGACCAAATCTGATTTCACAAAACAGCTTTGTATGATTGAGAAGTCATTCGCTTCCTTGTGTTACACTTGACTCAGTAATTAAAGTAATGAAAATGTGAGCATCAAGTGAAATATATAAGAATGCTAAAAAAAGTGACTTTCACAACCTACGAAAGGAAAGCTATCAACTTACGAAAGAACAGATAAATAAAAGTCTAACAAGCGCTCTATCTTATAATTTAGATGCAGTTTGGAAAATTAGAATTGCAAAACGCATCATTAGCAGCTTAAATTTGCTGTGAATGATCTAAAGCACTGACAGCTGACATAACTTCATCACATGGGGGCTGCAGATTTGTCAGCTGCATATCTATGATATGCATCTCCCTATCCATCACATCCCAAAAGTGCTATTGGATTGAGATCTAGTGGCTATGAAGGCCATTTGGGCTCATTAACGTCATTGTCATGTTCAAGAGATCATGTGAATGGTTTCTGACATGTTGCATCAGCCTGCTAGAAGCAGAAAGGGTGGACATGGTCAGTAACAATGCTCAGCATAAGCTATAGTATTTAAGCAATGTTCAAATGGTGCTAAGGAGCCAAAAGTGTGCCAAGCCCAAACTGCCATAACCCATCTTCTACAAGGTTCACAGTATTTTGCATTTAGAGACATTCTTCTGCATATCTTGGTTGTAACAATTCATTCTTTGAGTTACTGTCGCCCCTAGTACCAACAAGGCATTTTCGCTACCACATTTTCTCCTTTTCTGACCACTCTTTCTAAATCCTAGATATGATTGTGTAGTAAAATCCCAGTATAACAGCCATTTCTGAAATACTCAGATCAGCACATTCAAAGTCACTTAAATCATCTTTCTTCCCCGTTCTCATGCTCAGTTAGAACTTCAGCAGGTCATCTCAACCATGTCTACACACCTAAATGCATTGAATTGCTGCCATGTGATTGACTGATTAGATATTTATTTAGGCAGCGACTTGTTTATTCGTAGCTGCCCGGTAAAGTGTGCGATACAAAGAAGTTAGTTACTTCCTGATGAAGTATATAAAATCAAATCAGATCTGTGACTCGGATATTTGTTTCCCAGTTTTGCATTCAAAATAAAAAGACGAAAAGGAAAAACACTGCATTATTTGATTTTTCTCTGTGCCGCATTTATCATTTTCTGATTTTTTATTCTCAGTTGAAAAGAACAAATTATACACTGATTACTCAACAACCACTGTTAAGGGAGTAACCAAAAAACAAAGTGTAATTCTGTCACTTTTGTGTTATTAGTATACAAAACATACAATTATTCATTTTTTTTTCTTGTTTGGATGCTTTCTTTTTTTTTTTAAACTAATTTTATGCTAACACTTTGATTGTGCTACAAAAAAAGACAAAAAAAAAAACCCTAAACCATTATTCACAAAAAACATTCAGTCATGCTCCACAACAATCAGTGCAAATGTCCCATGCAGCTCTGTTATTATTTCATTTTCTTCAGCCATGACTCCCTTTTATCTATGAAAGCTGGTTAGATAACTCATCAGGAAAATCAAACAAATGAAATTTTTAAAAAAAAGTTTAAATAAATTCAAAACAAGCGAAAACACCACCAAGTCCGAAATTTTCTCTTTTGTAGATTTTTTTTTTTTTTTTAATCTTAGCAAGCATTACTGGTATATATTTTTTATGTTTGTAGAACATGCAGGACTTTTTCACAGCATATTCATTTTCAACAGAACCACTTGGGGCTCGAGGAGCGGCAAACATACCGAAAGCATTCACTGACAGGAAAAAGTACTCCAGTGTCCTATAGGTGGATGAAAGAGCATTGAGCGTGAGTAGGAGCTTGCCACAAAGTCTCCTGCGTGTTTAATAACCTGTCAACTCACCAGAAACGGCGTCGTGGAACTCATCCTCGCTGAGGGCACTCCGTGGTGAAGATCCCTTGACGACGGATTGCTCAAGTTCGTGGTGCTCTGTGGCGAGAGTCTGCAGTGCCTCAGAGAGGATCTTATTCTTCTCCACCTCCTGCTCCAATTTCAGACTGCGCACCTGAGCTCACCACACACAAACACACACAGACAAAAGGAAACACGCTAATCACTCTCAGAAACAGAAACCATCATGAATTCTATCCTCTGCACTCGATAACCACGAGCAAAAGATGGCCAAGCGTTCCCCAGGCTACCAAAATTTTATTCAAAGTCTCATTAAAAACAGAGGACAAATGTGCATGACTATGAGACAGGCTTTGATGGCAGCAGGCCTGCAAGTAAACAGCATGTTGACTGACTGATCCCCCCTCTGTTCTGTCCTCTCATTATCAGACCCATGGCGAGAGAGACAGAGATGGAGCTGAGAGGGTTGAGCCATGTTTATCTGTAATGGAGGCCAGCAGCCTTGATGCTGCCGTCTCAAATAGCCTGCCGGAGAACACGAGTCCCGTAGAAGAGAGGGAATCAAATGACGGATAATGGACTCCGATATAAACCATTAGCTAAACCTTCCTTTTACACAAAACATTAGTGCTGATAATATGAAGGTGTGCTCACTTTTACTTCACCATTTCCACGGACAGGCTGACATTGTGCAAATGCAAAATTAAAGTCCACTGACGAGGCAGGGGTTTACTTTGGATTGTCAAAGTAACAGAAGAGGGAGAAATGATTATAAATGATCATCCACAAGACAAGAGAAAGCTAAATGAAGTGGGGTGGAAGTGCTGTATGATGACAGAGTGCAGATCACTTGACATCTCTGCACAATTCTGAACTTAGAGAGGAAATTCCTCCTGCTGACCCCTCCACAGGTGGTGTTTAAATACAAAGCAGGGCTGCAGGGCCTGGAAGTGAGTCAGTATATTTCCTTTGCAGGGGGAGTAAGCATAGGCCCAACTTCTTCATTTAGCCGGCGAACCATCATTTACAGACGGAGCTATACTGTATAGTTTGAATTATCCCTATTGAGACTAGGCCTATTCATGGTGAGTTCTGAGATTCTGTGAGTCTTTTATCATGTGCTCTGCCTCTGCAGATTGCAGTTCAAAAGGCTGTGCAGCTGAGCGATCGAGGCCCGGCCCACATGTAAAGACTGAATGCACTGGACTGGCTGTTAAACTCAGAACATTCAAACTGTTCCTGGCAGCCCCAGCTTCATCAGCTGCTGTCTTCTTCTTAAAGATCCCCACAGAAATGATTGAAGTTGTGTTACTGAGCATTTGTGAAGAGACGGAGTCTATATAAAAAGGGGGGAAAAAAAGGACATACACATTGTGACTGAAGAGAGGGTTTTTTTCTCCATCATCTAATGATTATATTCAGCGTTTGGTTTTGTCTGGTCTTTTCATGTGCTGCAGAAAATGAGCAGCAGTGGGAATGTCATGCATAAAAGGGTTGAATCTATGCATTGATGTGAAGGTAAACATGCCTTGATTTACATAGCCAGCATCTCAAGTGTACATTTATCACAGCAGTGCATCAAAAGCAGCAGCACTACCAGACATCATTTTTCACAATCAAAACAGGGACAAATTCTTATTCTGGTGGAACATTCAAACACAAATCTGATTCAGAAAGTGCTGCAAATTAAAACCGCGACAGGATGCAACTTAACACTCTCACTTTTACAGATTCAGTGCTTTACTGCACACAAAAAAAAGAAAAAAGCTGGCACTTTCACATTACGATAGTAATCAGAAATGCAGTCGTTGACATGTTGTAAATTATATGCATCATCAATGAATAGTGGTTTTTCTTCTGCATCAAAAACCAGATTAAATCGGAATTATCTATAAACACATCGGCCCCGTCTCTGCTGTATCCACATATATCTGTGTTTACATCATTCATTGTTTCGCTGCCAGTTCTAAAATCACAGCCAAAACCCTCTTGCTTCCACTGAAGAACTTGCACACATACCCACACAGATTACAGAGTTCGACTGTTAAATAAACACTGAGAATTATTAGTATTTGCATTAAAGATATGTACTGCACTGTTTATATTGTATTAACTGGCTGCTGATTTATGTAATAAAAGTTTGAGCCATGCACACAGCATGGATATAGGGATGGCAATATGAGGCTGGCAATCCATTTCTTTTACCCAGAATATTATAGCAGTGTCATTGCAATCCATTCATGACTTCTACTTACTTTGGTGACTCCTTTGACTTTTGTCCTTCTCACAATGCCATTATCAGCCCCTTAAATATTTGGTTTAAGACCAAATATGTTTAAAACCATTTCTTCTAGTTTAATCGTGCATAGAAAATGAGACATTCTAGTCCTGTTTTTTTAACCACACACAATTTTACATTTGATTGACAATATCAGTTTCACTGAACCAAAATATTCTGCGGCAGTATATCCCCTTACTGCTTTGGCTTATGTTTGACCCTGAATACAACCGGGCTTTACGCCAGTGTAATAACTTGGCTGAACACCCTGCTCGTCTTTGCGCTCCTAATCCAATTTTACAACCTGATGCCTTCAGTTTAGTTTCAACTGAATTACTCTATGCAAGTCTGCAATTCATTCATAACTTTTCACAACTCAAAAAAAAAAAAAATCCACATCAGCTGGCGAAGCCTCGTGCACTAAAGAGCAGATTATGAAACACAAGGCGGTCTCTATCTTAAATCACCTGTGATTGGCGACATAACCACACCCCATAATACCCAATCAGAACCACATGTTACTTAGGTCAAACAATTTATAAATAAATTCAGAATCCACTTCAAGATTTTGACTTTGACATTCAGGGCTCTGCATGGACAAGCACCAACCTAAATCAGAGATATTTTACATCCTTACATCCCCAGCAGGTCCCTGAGGTCATGTGACCAGGGCTTGCTGGTCGTCCAACATATGAGACTGAAAACAAAAGGCAATACAGCGTTTGTAACTGTGGCCCCCAGACTCTGGAACTCCCTTCCTTTGAGCCTGAGATCTGTGGACTCAGTGGTTTCACTTTAAAAAAAACAGCTAAAAACTCATCTTTTAAAACTTGCTTTTGGTTGATTTCTTTTTTAATGTTTTATCTTGAAAGGTGCTATACAAATACAATTTTACTTACGTACATATATAATACATATTTTAAAGTAATATATTTTGGCTCTGCAATAACTTTGAAAGGTTAGTGCCTAGAAAGACAAAAATAGAAACTCATAAAAAAAAAAAAAATCGAAATACCAAGTAACAAACACAAAGAATAACACCCATAATGTCTAAAGCAGAGGTTCCCAAAGTGTGGGGCCCGCGGTATGAAAAACAAAACAAAAAGCAAAAACAAAGAACGAACCCTTGGACACTGCTAGCATCATTCTTCGTTTTCGGTGATTCGAAACGCCGTTTACGTGTGGACGAAAGGTCCAAACGCATAGAAACAGCTGCGTTTTAAAAAATACCCGTATAGGTGTGGACGCAGCGTAAAAGAGTTAGCAGTGTATTTTATTGCTTGGGGGGTGTAACAGTTTTCTTGCAAAACAAAGGGGGGCCCAGCAGAAAAAGTTTGGAACCACTGCTTTAATGAAAAAAGTTTTTTTCTTGTTGTTTTTTTCTGATCTCGTTCGAAGAGGATCAAATATTCATTAATTTATTGATGTGTAAACAAACCGTCCCCACCTGACAGTGTTTTTGTAATTGTTCTGAGCCCAACAGCAACAAAATTCAAATGTGCTGCCTGAGAAAGCCTGACGATCACAGCCGTTTCGAATCTGCTTTCAGCCTTGTCCCCGGCGTACAGAGATTTTCAATTTTTCTCTGAATCTTTAAAAATATTATGAAGCACAGAGGCTGAAATCCCCCAATCTTTGTAGGGTCGATACTAATATAAAAAACAAGTTTTACATCATCAGGAAGGCAAAATTTGTTCCAAACACTCTGTTCCGTTTTTTCTTTGCTCTACATAATTTAAAGAAAGTGTATATCGCCAATATTGCCAATTCAACAGCATAACCCCTAATTTGGAGCAGAGGACATCCACCCAACTGCTGTTCAAATCTTTTGTTTGTGAGGAACAGCCAATGAGAAGAAAGTTGGCATAACAAAAATGTGTTTATGAAGATAGAACAGCTGTTTAAAACAGCTTTTGAACAGTCAGTCATGCAAAGCTACTTTAATGTGGTTCAAGAGTAATAAAAAATATGCATACATAAATGAGCTTTATAGGTCAACGTGTTGCTTGGACTTTTGCAGAATGGCGAATCCCTCCCCACATTTATTGCTGAAAGACTCATCCTTGCTGTAAAGCTTTTCTTTTATACCAGTCATGCACTGACCTTTTGCCATTTAACCTAATTAGCTGTGAGAAGTTCTTTCAGGTGTTTTCTTCTTTGTTGTTGTTGCTTTTAATACAACTTTTCCAGTGTTTCATATGCCGCCCCCCCCAAATCACCTTGAAATGTGTTGCTAGAAGTTCATAAATTAGCATATTTCATAAAAACAAAACAAAAAAACAAAAAAAAAAACCTTCTCCTATTCAACATGTGTTATGCTTTCATTGTCTTTACGGTATTTTGAATCAATTGCAGGTTTTAAATGATTATTGCATTCTCTTCTAGATTGTTGCAAAATTGATGCCAAATGTCAGAGGTTGCTATAAGCGGTATAATCTACCTGTTTTCACGAGGGGGTGTATTCTAGCCCCCGAATCCTTCCATTTTAATCAAATCCATTGAATCAAAAACAAAGAAAAAAAAACCCATGTGTAAGCATATAATCACTTCCACTCAGTCCACTGAGCTGCTTTTGTTAGAGTGAATTTTTCCAGCATCTTTTTGTGTAGGATAATTTCTTTTTACATCCCAAAGATATACATCATCTTACTGAGCCCCAACAGTCTCAATATAACACTTACAGATATCAAGTTATTTAAAATGTCACTGTAATCTCATTTATCTCCTTTCTATGATCCAAGTAAACTTAGATAATAACCGTCTTCAGTTAATGGTGACTAAAATGCTGATAATCAGCTGAAAAACATAGTCACAGTCACTAGGCTCTCAAATAAAAGTTTAAATTTGTCTTTGGAAGGTCACACTCACCCCTTCCTGTCTGGAGAAGAGGCTGAGACAAATGTTGAGATTGGAAGTGGTTTCGCTGGATAATTCACATATTTCTTGCATCTTTTGCAGTATTGTTGATGGAAATTCTGAGGGGATAAAACACATAAAGTAATGAATGCAATGGAAAAGACACAACTTTGAGCTATTACAGTTTGTTTGTTTTTTTAAATGCTCTTAGAACATGTATAAAGAGCAAGCACACTGCAGAAACCTCTAATGACAGTGCCAGATGGCAGCGTCTTAATTAACAGTCTTTCAGACATTACTGTGCATTTAAATCTGTTTGAAGACTCTTGTAATTTTAAATCAAAAGGTTTTCATTTCACCTCCACCACCTGAGTAAGTGTGTTTCTCCTCGTCTACGTATTGTATATTACATAACAAAGAAAAGTGAAATAAAAGGCTTTACTTTCTGACAGCTCTTCATTCTTCAGCATGGACAGGAGCGCTGCGACCTCCTTCTCCAGATTTTTCTGGCTGACATCTGCAACCTGGTGATTTAGAGAGATGGGAGAAGACTGCAGATCAACAAAAAGTAGCACGGGGTGGGTGGACTAGTTCACAGAAAACACTATGGGTCGTTAAGCCAAAATGCTAATTAGGCTCGCTTTCTGTTTGCTGTACCTGTAGTGAACTTGTTAACTCTCCAAGTGACATCACTTCCTCGTATTCCTCCTCTTCGCTCCCTTGCTCCTGGGAGCAGTAGTATGTGCTGTAAGCTGCGTGCTCCTCCAATGTATCAACCCATGCCTTAAAGAAAGACAAACAAAGGACAGAAAAACCAAAAAGGTCACTTAGTTATTTGACTGATCTTGACCTTTATGTGTTTTTGAAATACTATAGGAAACATGTTTATTATTATTATTTCTTTTTAGAGGAGCATCAGGAGAGAAGATGAAAATAAGCTAGCAAGGCTCTCTCTGTAAAGGTCATAAAATATATAATCTGCCTCTAAAATTTACTAGCTGACAAATTTTACTGTGATTTGTCATATATATTAAAAACAAACAAACTTGTACTTATTTCCAGCTAACGACTGTTTTCCCAAATTGCCAAAAATTTTCTTTTAGAACACAGCTTGCATTTCAAATTTTAGTAGTATATTCTACATAATGGCCGGGACTTTTAATTACATTCTTTATCAGCTACTTACGCTGATACATAATTCATAGCAATGCAAGAGACAAAGTAGACAACGATTTCTCATCTAGAGCGACAACGTCTTAGCATCTGAACAGCTTGCATAACAACTACAAAGTCAAGTAATAATCCTGTGAATAACTCAATGTAATGATGCAAATTCTCACACCTGGGTTGTTATAATGACTAAACAAACAAAGAGTTAATTAATGAGCTTGGGGTGCATTTGAGATTTTACACTTTTGCATAAAGCCTGAGAAAAGCTAAAAATTACATTTTACTTCAAGATTTCAAAACATATGATTAG